ACTGGAAAAATAATTGTGATATATAAGTCTGAAACATGTCAATCAATATAATGCTCACAATTTGAGCTATTTTCCTTAACAAACTTATAGAAACTGATGGTAGAAGCCTGACATAATTGTTGTAGCATTTTCATGCAGGGAAATCAAAGTAAATAACAGTTTTGTGGAAAAGTGGGACGCACTGAAATGGCTGCTGACACCAAAGTGCACTGCAGGTTGCTATATCCAGTCCTGGTACTGCTAGGCCAATCAAGGTCAGAGAGGATTAATAGCTGGAACATCCCATTTGTGCCTGTGTAGTGAGTCGCATCATCCCAGAGGGAAGAGACTGTTCAAATAGGTGCAACATCTAATTGAATAATTTTTATTACTCAAATAAAATATTCTTTAGAAAGGATTAGCTAGTGAATGTCATTTTGATGGCTGAAAATGTGTATTTTTCATTTGTATAAGTAGGGGTCATTAGGTGTAGGTCTAATGATTTTGTGTAATTATATATTATATTAGTAAGTTACCCATTATCATGCCAATATATGGAAATTATTTGATTATTATATTTATTATTAATTATAGTAGTATTTTTATTAGAATTTTTAAAGTTATTCTTCTCTTCAAGCAAGATCACTCCTTTCATTATTTACCTCTTTAGAGAAATGAAATGAATATAAATGCTTAATTTCCCTCATGTTTAAATCTCTTAATAGATTCATGCAAAATAATTTTCAGAAAATGTATGATCTCTTTCACTCCATCACTTGTTTCCTTCCTTTTTTTAACTCAATTAGAATGTCTTCTACACTACTCACTAGACGAATGATTCTAAAAAAAAAAAAAAAAAAAATCTAATTCTTTAGCTTTAAAATACATATGCTTTCATATAATTAATTTTCTCCCATACAAAACAGACCAAAAGCATGGAGACTTTTTTTTTGTTTTTCTTTCAATTCAGTACAACTTCTAATTCATTACTATAGCATCTTTTACAAATTTTAAATATTTTTCAGTGGCTGTCCTTCACTCCCAACTCACTTTTTTATTACTTTGAAGAGATGTCAGAATTGTGATGAAATATCAAGAAATGATTGTGTTGTTTCCATTGGGAAAAGAATGTACCCTCTGACAAGAGGAGATGGGGCTTTGGTTGAATTTGCCAATTGCACAAGGTAAAATTAATTGCTAAGCAGACAATTCCGTCTGGGAATGTGGAAATATCAATCTATTATGAGTGAAAAGCCTTCTTTGGACTGAGCTCCATCTCCATGATAGAGTATTTAAGAAGTCTTTAATTTTACTCTTGCATTACTAAGATTTGGACTCAGCTGCTGTGAGGTAGGACCTTAGATTTTCATGGAAATTCCAAATACTGGGATATTTTCTTTAGGCAACATCTGTGTTAGGCAACTCTCTGTGACAGTATCTTTTAATGACTGAGACAATGGTCTATTCAAGATTAAGAAGGATGGATGCATACATTTACTTTTTGGCAGCAGTATATTAGAAAAGGAATATGTTAGCCCAAAACACAGAAGGACAAAACTTTAGTAATAGTTAAGAAATACTTGAGCAGATTTACTGAAGAAGAAAAGGACCAGGCATAGCACATATTTGCTGCAAGAGTGTACTTACTATTTAGTGTGAGAAATACCCAGATATTAAAGGGGATTTTAAAATTTAATGGGTGCGGGACATGGATACTCATTACTTAGGGAGAAGTATGATTGTCCTTTGAAATTTAAATAAATTATTACCTTTTTTTTTTTTTTGTAATTAGGTGTGGATGAAACCTTTCTCTGTGATTTGGAAGAGATTAAATTTTGTTAAATGTTTCCTTTTATATTTTGTTTTATTATAATCTGATTTTATCACAAGTGTTTTTCATTTATTTAGTACATCTCAAGTTTCTCAAATGTATAATTCTTACTGGTAGTGACAGGCACTATTCATTATTTTTATCATATGACACTTGGTACAATGCTTGAACCTAGAAAGTGTTTGCACTTGAGAGATTTTATCTCTCTTTCCTTTTCAAATGTATTGCAGGCAATAATGCCTCAGGTGGTGTAGGCCATTTCAGGTTAACAAATTTATTGCCACAGAAAGGTCACGAGAAGGTTATCTCTCATAACTGTAGTCATGCTGGATTCCTGGGAAGAGGTGTCACACCGGGTTGGTTGAAATCTATAAGTCTTAGACAGGTCCTGCTCAGTTGGTAGAATGTTGAATGACCTGACTTGGAGGTCTCCTCTCATATACTGTGAGAGTCCCAAGCTATGCCTGAATTTCTGTGGCTTCTTCAAGAATGCACAAAGCTTCTACCATCTGGCGTCACTGACATAGACCCTCCTAAATGACCTTTCCTCCTGGTTCTACCTTCCATTTATTTTCAGGAAGCTTTAGAACTTCTCTGTCTTTTTCACCCTAAAATAAGGACTTTTTCCCTATCTCTAGTTTTCTTTTCTTAAAAACATGAAGGAGCAGCAACACAATAGAAAAGGAACTGTGTGTGTGTGTGTTTATGTGTTAGTTGCCTTTTTATAGTAACCTTATGCACAACAGAACAAAACACTTTCTGGTTCTGTCCCATCCTCACAATTTTTGCTATACTTGAGCCCATCATTACAACCACTGTGTCAATCAATCTTGTTGAGAGATTTTCTGTTTTTCACTGGTCCTCTAGTTTACCAGACATGATATCATTCTCTAGGAAATAATCCATCCTGATAACATGACCAAAGTAGGAGATACAGATTCTCCTCACCCATTCTTCTAAGGAGCACTCAGTTTGTTTTCCACTACAGATTTGTTTGTTCTTCTGGCAGTCCAGGGTATATTCAATATTCTTCCCCAACATCATAATTCAAATGTATTCAATTCTTCTCCTACAATTCTCCTAAGGAAAGATAAATTCACTGAGCAATGGGCACTTATGAGAATGCTGTTTTTGTTATGTGCCATAGAGTTGGCCCCGACTCAGCAACCAAACCCCTCCTTGGGTTGCTGAGGCAGTATCACTATGGAAGTAGATTGCCCAATCTTCCTTCTGAGGAGTGGCTGGTGGGTTTGAACCACCAGACTTCTGATTAGCAGTCAAGTGCCTTAGGCACTATGCTACCAGAGCTCCTACTTATGAGAATAGAACATCTTAATAGGTTCTGAAAGCTACCTTCTCATAGAAATTGTGGTAAAGCATTGGATGAACAATAATGTAACAGAAATTTAGGACATAATTATGGAGGAGCGCTGTTGATGCAATGTTTAAGTACTCGACTGCTGCAAAGTTTGGCAGTTCAAACCCATCAACTGCCTTGGGAGAGAAAAATGTGGCAGTCTGTTTCCATAAAAATGAACAACCTTGGAAGACCTGTGAGGCCCTTCTACTCTGTCTTATAGAGTTTCTGTGAGTTTGAATTGACCCTGTGGCATTGAGTTTGGTTTTCTTTTGTTTAATCTTTAAGATTAAAGAAGCAGACTGCTAAATATTTCTTTTATAATATGGTTGGTGGGTTTATACAGTCAACCTTCTGATTAGCAGCCAAGCTCTTAACCATTGACCACCAGGGCTCCTTTGAATGATGTTGTTATGTGCTGTCGAGTCAACCCCAACTCATAGCAACCCCTCCTAGGTTTCTGGGGCAGTATCACTATGGAAGTAGATTGCCCAACCTTCCTTCCAAGGAGTGGCTGGTGGGTTTGAATCGCCAGACTTCTGGTTAGCAGTCAAGTGCCTTAGGCACTATGTCACCAGAGCTCCTTGAATGATGTTAGACAGTGCTAAATCACAAAATTTCCTAGGTTCCATGGCATCAATCAGAAAGACTGTCATGATGAGGAATACACAGAGCTACTTGAGCATAGTAGATTTTGGTCCTTATTTGAGATTTATGATAATTCATTTTACAATGAAAAAAAAAAAGTCTCAAAGTGTTTAACTAAACTGATGTACGTCTTTTCTGGACATCATCTATCACAAGGTAGAGTAGTCCCTGACCATGAAATAAAGTTAGCAATACTACCTAGTTAACCTTTGGTAATCCAATCATTCACAAATTTTTTTTAATAAGAATATTAGCCAAAAATATTTATTTTTTTGTGTGGGTGAATTTATTATCTACATATCACATTTTATCAATTTATTAAAATGCATATGAATGTTTTTGTATTATTTTAATAATCCAATGTCAGAGAACAATTTAAATTTGATCAATATATATAATGCAGATTATAAGGTAATATAGGGGATAAGGCATAGATATCAATCTCAAGAAACTTTCAATCTATGTGATAAGATTGTTGCTGTTGTTGCTATTAGGTGCCATCAAATTAGCTCCAAATCATAGTGACCCTATGCATAACAGAACAAAACACTGTCCAGTCTGGTGCTAGTCTCACAATCCTTGCTTATAAAATACAGCTTGTTGTAAAAGATAGCTCAAAATAAAAACTAAGCAGACTGCAAAATTTTGACTGTGCCATTGACCATGCAGTCTGAAGATACAGTTTAAAGTCTAAAGACATGGACTTATGATGAACTTTTCACAGATGATGGAACTGAGTTAACTTGTAGATTGATTTATGTGTCCAATGTCAAGGAGACATTTAATAGTGAAACCATACTTCTGGCTGATTCTGATGCAAAGTTGATGTTCTTTCCTTTATTCTATTTTTCTGACACACAACAAAGGAGCTCTGGTGATGCTATTGGTTAAAGGATTGGGCTGGTAACCAACAGGTCAGTAGTTTGAAACCACTAGCTGCTCTGCAGGAGAAAGATGAGACATTCTGCTTCCATAACAATTTATACAGCCTTGGAAACCCAGTGGTACAGTTCCACTCTGCCATATCAGGTTGCTATGAGTAGGAATCAACTCAATGGAAGTGGGTTTGGGTTTGGGTTTTGTCTGACATACTAGTCATTGTGAGCTGTCTCGAAGTACTTGATGGATGCTTAGCTCACTAACTTTTCTTCCTTGACAGTCTAGAAGCTATTATGTGATATGAACATGGGGGCCATTTTTTGGAACTCCACTGACTTCATCCTTTTGGGCCTCATCACTCATCCCTTATTCCCTGGACTTATCTTTGCAGTGGTCTTCTCCATCTTTGTGGTGGCTGTAACAGCCAATGTGGTCATGATTCTTCTCATTCATGTGGACTCTCGTCTCCACACACCCATGTACTTCTTGCTCAGCCAACTCTCCATTATGGATACAATCTACATCTGCATCACTGTCCCCAAGATGCTACAAGACCTTCTGTCCAAGGAAAAGACCATCTCCTTCTTCGGTTGTGCAATTCAGATATTTCTCTACCTGACACTGATTGGAGGGGAATTCTTCCTATTGGGCCTCATGGCCTATGACCGATATGTGGCTGTGTGTAACCCCCTTCGGTACCCTCTCCTCATGAACCGCAGGATTTGCTTGTTCATGGTAGTAGGCTCCTGGGTTGGCGGCTCCCTAGATGGATTTATGCTGACCCCTGTCACCATGAGTTTTCCCTACTGTGGGTCCCGAGAAATCAACCATTTTTTCTGTGAGATCCCAGCTGTGCTGAAGCTGTCATGTATAGACACATCCTTATATGAAACTCTCATGTATTCCTGCTGTGTGGTGATGTTGCTCATCCCTATATCCATCATCTCTGTCTCCTACACACGAATTCTAATTACGGTCCATCAGATGAATTCTGCTGAGGGCCGGCACAAAGCCTTTACCACCTGTTCCTCCCATATTATGGTGGTGAGCATTTTTTATGGGGCAGCCTTCTATACCAATGTGCTCCCCCATTCTTATCACACACCAGAGAAAGATAAGGTTGTGTCTGCCTTCTATACCATCCTCACTCCCATGCTCAACCCACTCATTTACAGTTTGAGGAATAAAGACGTGGCAGCCGCTCTATGGAAAGTGTTGGGGAGATGCACTTTCTCCCAGAGAATCAGAGCTGGAGATGTTTCTAGAAAATACTAAGGTCCAGATGACCATCACCATCACTGTTGCCAATTACCTATAATCTTTCAAGAAAACAGTTATTGGTTCTAAAAAATGTTCAGTGTCATTTGAGTCATCCTGAGATACCAACAGGCAAAATCCTTTGGTTGAAAATGTCATTTAAAAGCAATAGCTAAATACCAAAAGTATCTCAGTATCAACCAAAATATTGTTTGGATCCACAGACATAGTCAAATCTATTAATAAGTCATCCCAGTCAGGCCAAGCATCCCTTTAAACTTAGATAGATATTTGTATATGTTGTATGTGTTATATATATGTTCATGTGCCCTTTGTCTCTGTATTTATTGCTGACCAACTTTTGAATGTAAAATCACAAGTGTCATGGGCCATATCCTTGATGATCTTATTTCAAACATTTTGTACAAGTAGGATACGTTTTAATGTTTATAGAATAGCTATTTAAGAAGTGTTTATGAGCATGATTAGATTACATTTTGATTGCTGTATTCTTTGTTAATATTCAGAACATCCGTATTTTTATTACTTATACTAAGCTGCATAGTTACCATGCCTTTATATGTCAGAGTCTCACATATCCCTTACATTTTGTTGATAATTTTTAAATTGATTTCTTCCATTAAGATAATAACATTGCTACAATTCTGCAATAATTTACATTTATGCTTTCATAAAGAAATAATGGATAAACATAAAATGAATGCATAATGACACTTTCATTACCAAACTTTCTCCTTTGGGTTTAGTTGCTCAATTATCTTATTCTCACCTTTTCCATTTGATATATGAATAGTCAAAAATTTCCCTTTTAAATTATTTGGGAAGAGCTGTGGTGTTTTGATAGTGATTGAATACCTTTATAAAAATGCCTAATATATTAACTAAATAATGATGGCACTGAGCCTTCCACCATCCACTTACACAATGTTATCTATGTGTGTAAAGTTCTGAAACATTGCAAATAAAAGAGAAATTTTGATTCCTTGTTTTTTTCTATAAATAGAGGGCTTAGAAAAGAGAAAATTTGGAAAATATAAATTATTTCACATTAGACAAAGATTAAATTTAGTGGTTCAACTCACCAGCCATTCTGCAGAAGAAAGATAAGGCTGTCTGTTTCCCTAAAGCAAAACAGCTTGGAAACCCAATGGAGTGTGCTATGAGTCAGAATTGACTTGATGGCAGTGAGATTTTGTGTGTGTGTGTGTGTGTGTGTGTATGTGTGTTATGTTGTATTATATTGCATTGTGTGACAGTTTTGCTACTTAGATTAATGTCAGCAGATAGCAAAATCTTTCCTTCCTCAATTTTGATTCAGGTCAAAAACACTTCCTTTTATATGTTAATCATGAAGTTGGTTTTACTTCCTAAAATTCCTAAGGACTTGATCTTTACTCTTAAAGTTGTTGTTGTTATATGCCATGGAGTCAGACCCAACCCATAGCGACTCCTCCTTGGGTTTCTGAGTCAGTATCACTACAGAAGTAGATTGCCCCATCTTTCTTCTGAGGAGTGGCTGGTGGGTTTGAACCGCCAGCCTTCTGGTTAGCAGTCAAGTGCCTTAGACACTACGCTAACAGAGCTCCTACTCAAAAAATAACTAAGAGATGGAAGAATGACCTGGGGAATAGATTCTCTCCAAATGGAGAAACAGACCATGACTGAGTTATGAAATGTACTCAATGTGACCTCAATTCAGTTCCATTCACGTTTCAGTTTCCTTTGAGTCTCTGCATTCTTGCTAGTGTCTTTTTCCTCTTCTCTCCCCATTATACTGTAGGGCCCTATTCCTGATCTTTCACTCTGCAGAACTGCTTTATGTTTCACATTTTTCCTCTACCTAGAGAATATTATATCTGGTCCTTTCCTTATATAGAATTGTTGTTTTTGTTCTTAGCTGCCATCAAGTCAACTCCGACTCAGCAACCCTATGTACAACAGAATGAAACAGAACCACGTCGTTCCCCATCCTCTCACTTTATTATACTTGGGCCCATTGTGGCAGCCACTGTGTTAATCCATTTTGTTAAGGGTCTTCCCCTTTTTTGCTGACCCTTTATTTTCCTAAGCATGAATCTTTCCTCAGGAAATAGTGCCTTGTATATTTAACAAGGGTGTTCAATATGAGGATTGGCAGATATTTCAAAAATACCTAACAAACAATTAATAAGGAAGGTGCATTTAGAGTAGTTCCCACTAATACATGCGATTTAGTGTTCTGGTTACATGGTGAAGCTCTGACAGAGCTATACCACAAATAGGATGGCCTTAACAAACAGGTGTTTATTCTTACAAGCTGGAGGCTTTAAGTCCAAGTTCAAAGTGCCAGGTTCTAGGGCTGGTGAAAGCCTCTCAACCTTGGGGGTCCAACTCTGCCTCCTGCTCCCTGCCCAGTGGAGCTAGAGGCATTTCTTCACTCAGACAGCTGCTGGCTGCTGAGGCTGAGAACCCCCAAGGTTAACAAGTAAAAGGCACAGTCCCGATGTTACCA